GAATTCTCAGTATACTTGGGGCTTAGAAAAAGTTATCAATATGGCATGCACTCAGGCCCAAGAATAAATGCAAATTTAAAAAGTATATTATGAGCACATTTTCTAAATTTTCTCCAAAAGATGCCCATTTTGCATTGGATCAAAAAAGGCAGGTAATGTTTTCCAGTAGCATCAACTTTCCCTGCAATGATGTAGCCTTCACAATAGCTGTTTTTGTCAAGCCCAATGGCGCCTAAGTGCATGTCCAAATATTTTTGGAAGGTTATCAAAAGCATTTCAAACTATGGGTTTGCCTAGTAAAGGAAAGCAGGATTTAAGCATGCAGAAATGAATGGAATAAACAAGATCAGAAAGGGGGAAGGTTAAGAGTTTAAAAAAATGAAGAGAATAACAAGCCCATTCCACTCAGAGGTACATCGACTAGCCAGCAAGAAAGAGGAGGGGTGGCCCTTAGAAGCTCTAGTGCCTACAGGTACTCACCAAGTGGAGGAAAGCCCCGAGCAGGGCTTGTATCTCGGCTGCTCTCACGGCTGGTATCGCGGCTGCACCCCTGACTCACGCTGGGTCGGGGGATACGGCTGCTCCGTGCTAGCATGCAGCATGGAGAGTTTCAGAGAAGGTGAACACAAGTTTAAAGAGGATACAATGCTCAGACAATAAATTAACAGTTTGGTCATTACTGACATTAGTAAATATCCCGGATATCTGCCAATCTGATTTGTCACGTATAAACTGTGATACATGCTGAATTTGCCCAAGAGCATCTCAGATGTTGACACTCCCGAGAGCCTTGTTCTATTTATAACAGGCCAGAAAAACTTATTTGGGAAAATAGGGTTACAATAATATCAGGTTTACTTAGATTCCACTTAAGCGGGGGGGAGGGGGAGGGAAGGAGGAGAGAGAAAATACGAGGAAAGAAAGGTTGACTCTATTTTAAAGGGATAAATAAATGATTCTAATGAGGAATCAGCAATAAAAACCTAACACATTTAGGTTTTATTTATGTAATTTTTATACAGACTCATCATAATAAATTAGATGACATAGGAAATAAACAGGATATTTAACTAGGCAAAATGTCAAAATGAACAACTTATTTTATATTCTTCTTTGGTGCATAGTGTTATTATGACTGTTTTAAATTCTTCTCTATCGCAGCCATAATTGGGCCTACCCTTAGAGGTTCTCTTTCTGAGAAAGCCAATCAAAACCAGGTTCAGGGAATCAACATTAAAAAAAACATGTTGAATTTTCCCATAAAAAATACTAATTCATATGAGCACATACACAGAGGTTTTTTTAAACAACTTTTACTTGGGTTGTCTGGCTCTCCTACTCCTTCCTATATTTATCCTGCCCACTAACAAAAATTTGGGACTGCAGACTCCTCAAGGCAGGAATCCATTCTGGATTTGTTCAATAGGCTATATTGATGGCAAATACATAAATATTAAAAAAATAAAAGAATGGCATTTTAAAAGGCCATAACCCTGGAAAAGAGAGATAATCTTTCCGGCAGCACTTGTTTTGAAATAATGATGAATACTCCTAGTGTGCATTCGTGTTCCTGCCTGAAAGCAATTATATACTGTGGTATGAAGCTTTTCAATAAGAATAAGAAATATGGTCTGGATAGTGTACAAATGATTGTTTAATTCACTTTCATAAATTATCCCATTAATTACTTCACTCATTAATGAACCAATCATCTAAAAGCTGAAGCTGCATAATTAACAAATGAAAAACCAATTGCCTGTACCATCAGAACTCCAACAGAGATGGGACAGTATTTGTCATAAACTGCTGTCATAATGTTGAATAAGAAAGTGGAACTAAAACAAGAAATATACAAAGTCCCATCTGTTTGTACCTGGGAAAGAATATAAGTTTGTGAGTGTGGAGTAGAAAATGTTTCAATCAGGCCATGTTATTCAATGGTCTATGTGCTCTTCCATGCCCTGTTGGTGACGATCAGCAACGTATCACTGAGATATGGCTGGGCAAGAACTGTGAAATATATCTATTCAAAATCTACAACTAGCTTACTTGCTTTGATTCCAAGATAGGATAGGGGAGGAAGTGTTAACATTCCACAAGTACTTTGTGGTATCCAGGCCTACTATTCCCCATGTGGCGGGAAGAAAGGTCCAAATGGTGAAGTTGGAAAGCATGGTCAAACTAATATATTTCTGGTGTGATGTCCCCTCTTATTTCTCAATTTTCTCTCAAAGTTTTTGTCCTTTACTAGTGATTTCTTGTATACTTTTTCAACCTCCATGCCGTAGGGTTTTAATATCATGAGCTGTCAGGTATTGATGACTAGACCACATATACATTATTACAATAAAGAAATAAAGGGTTCCCAGTTTATTTTGGTTAACTGTAAAAAGGCAACATGCTTGAAGTATAGAGCTTATTTGTTCTTGCGTTGTTTCTCTCTTCATGCAGGAAGAAAAACTTAACTACTGGTAGGTAGGAACAATACAGCATGCTATTGTCTTGTCTGCCAGGCGTTTGGTTCTAGCAATTAGTGTTTTGGCCACGGAGTTTATCTGTGTTATTGCTAGAACCAAACATCTGGCAGACAAGACACACATAAAGACTGAACTATGCACCCTGACTAAAGTATTGACAGCCAACGGCTTCCACAAAAGCAAAATCACCAGCTTGATCCACAAAAACACACTGAGACATAATGGAGACCCAGAAGATGAACAGACCTATGGAACAGCTGTCCTGCCCTACATAAGAGGTACTACAGACAAAATCAGTAAGATACTACACAGGCATCACATCAAGACTGCCTTCAAAACAGACAGAAAAATAGCAGCCATCCTTAGAAACCCCAAAGATAAAATTGACCTGGAAAACCAAGGCATATACGAAGTCCCCTGTGCATCATGCCCGGCCACATACATTGGACAGACCAATAGAAGAATTAGTACCCGCCTGGATGAACACAAAAATGCAGTAAAAAAGCTGGAACACACTTCCTCACTAGTCCAACACATGAAAGCCACAGGTCATAGCATCAACTTCAATGGCACCAAAACCCTAGCCACTATAGAAAACCCCAGCCACAGAATTATCAGAGAAGCCATAGAGATTGAAAAAAGACCTGAAAGCATGAATAGAAGAGATGATTCCACCAGACTGTCAATTATTCGGAAGCCTGCACTCACAAACAAAAAAAATCTCCACACCACTAGCCAGGCAAACACCTGGGCACAAACAGATCCCCCCTGATACCTCCAGCTCAAACACACCCCAACCAGGCACCCAGATGAAACCTACCTTCCTAACAAATGATAGCCGTCCATTTACTCGGAGCCAAGCTGCACTAAAAGCCTCCAATACAGGAACACGATGTTGCCAGCCAATCAAGACACAAAAAGAGCCACAAAACAGACAGAAGATATTAGAAACACCAATCAAGCAGAACACAGCAAACTCCAAGACCAATAAACACAGACCAAGACTCCCAACCAATCAGGATGAAGAAAAAACCATTCTGGCACAGCAGTAGGCTAGCCCCAAATTTAAAACTGAAACAACTGTAAAAGTCTGACTCACAGACGAACACAATACAGAAGCCTGATGATGGCAGATGAGATTCTGCCGAAACGTTGCTACAACTTTAAAAGCACAACTACAATGACGTGGGAAAATACCCGAACAAAGCTGAATACCATACATGTAAGTACTCATGAAAACTTAAGAAAACAAATATATAGGTACTCCAGGTACTGCTTCATGATTTGCTTTTGTAAACCAGGCCTGCACCCTCAAAACTAAATCTATGCTTTCCTCCCACTTTGCCTGCAGAAGCCTGCATGGTTGAGATTTCATTTGAGACTTTTTGTGCTATTTAGACAAGAATTAATTATTACAAGTAAACAATATATTTATTTCTTGCCACAGTCTTAAATCCAGTGAAATCATTAGTTATTCACAGAGTTGGGATCATATAAAATTATTATTATAGGGGATGTTGTACCACAAAGATTGAAAACTCTTTTGAAAACCACAAAGTGGTGAATGACCTTATTGGCCACAATTTGGTGCTATGTCCTTTGATCCTTTTCTGAAGCATATCTATGATTTATCTGTCTTATTTTCTCCTCCATGCATTCTGCCATGTCTATTTGTGCAAATGTCTGTCGGATTATTCTCATTTTCCTTCTCTGATACCAAATTCAAATCCTTTTTCTTCCCACATTCCCACCTCATTTTGGGGGGTGTGCCTTTTCAGCTTTTCTTTGCTGAAACTGAGAGAACAGATTTTAAAGCTATTACATTTAAATGTCTTGCTTGTTCATTGGAAGGCCCCGGTTCCAAATCTGAATTGGCATATCTCAACTGCATTTCCTAATTTCAACCTCTAAAATAAGATTTGCCATGACTACTATTTTATATTAATAATGTGTAGTTGGGCATTTGTGCATAATTAATATATCTGATGATAGAACAGTTCTTCAGGTTCAGTCTATAGCAGTACTAACAAGTTAATTAGAAAATAACCCTACATATAAAGTTTAGCATTTAGCCTAAAAGCAATAGGTGCAATTTTTGATCAGAGAAAACAATAACAGAGCACAATCTCTAAAACTCAAAGGGAGGGTAAAAGTGGAGAAGCTTGTATTATTCCTGTAAGACAATACATTTGGTATCATCAAATGGTACTGAACCATGTCAAGTGAAAATGGAAATAAAACATATCTGAAGGAAAAACTGTTTCTTAATTAAAACAATAAATTATTTAATTAGAAAACAATTGTTTTCTAATTAAAACAATAAGTACAAACATAGGCAATTTATGTTAATCCCACTGGCAACTTTATCTTTGCCTATCTTGCTATTAACAAACTCAGCAGACGATCATAACTATGAAATCATTATAGCAAAACTGTGATTTGTTTCAGGAATTCTTTTGCCCAATCAGCATGAGAAAAGAAATCAGCCTCTTGGCTCTGTATCGCAGCCAAGAAAACTCTTACCTAGAGCTATCCTGCTAGGGCTGGTCTCTCGGCTGCAGCCCTGGCTTCGAGGGACTTTACTGCGTTTGTCAGTAGATGAGGATGATGTTGGCATTGGGTGTCCTCTGGTTGTTCCACTGCTAAGCCCACCATATGCACTTCCCAACAGCTTGCCAGGAGAGCTAGATCGACTACCAGCTACAAAATAAATAAATAAATAGGTAAATGCTCTTAAGTCTTCAGAATATTTCAAACCATTAAATTTACTAAATGTATTTTTTTTAAAAATCAGTTTAATTAATAGTAAATTAAAAATAAAACAGGATACAGAAATTCTTCAAGATGATATGTTTAAAAAGGGGGTTAACAACATAAATTAACAATAAAAAGTGTTGAGGAGGATGAATGAATAGAAACACAACCTTGACTGATACTACTCATCTTAAAATTGGTCAAATAGGATCAGCCATACCAGCAAGATATATTTTATACAGAAGCAACTAATGAAGTCACTCTCTCTCACATGCATGCACATACACACAATTTCTCTGTCCCATTGTTTGTTTTTTCTCATGCATCTTGCAAGGAAACTTTTTGAAATATTCTTTTACCTTCCAACCACAACACTGACTGAGCAATTGCCAAAAAAATAGGCATTCAAATCCAACAAATTATGAAAGTGATAATGAATTTTTCCTTTTGTCACAAGACAATTTGTGTTATGAAAACCTATCTTTGAAATTCTCTAATTGTCCCTGCTGCTGTTAACTTGGCAGATATTTGGCAGACTACTGACCAACGTGTGGGACCAACATGGAATAAGCCTTGCTACAAAGCTCAGTCTACCAAGCAGTAGTGCTAACTACCCTGATGTATGCCAGTGAGACTTGGACTGTATATAGGAGGCCCACTAGATAAATGAACCACTTCCACATGACCTGTCTCCGCAGACTTCTGAGGATCCAGTTGCCGGACAAGGTGCCAGACACAGAAGTCCTCTCCAGAGCAGGCCTGCCATCAGTTCACATCCTGCTGACGAAAGTCCAGACATGTTGGGCAGGCATGTTGGAAGGATGACAGGCCACCAAAAACAACTAAACAACTCCTCCATGGAGAGCTGTCTCAAGGAAAGTGATCGCATGGGGGACAAAGGGAAGTGATACAAAGACATGTTGAAAGCCTCTTTCAAGTCCCTGGATACTGACACCACCTCCTGGGAAACCCTGGCACAAGACTGATCAACATGGAGCACGTTGAGCCACCAAAGCTGCCAGACATTTGAAGACAGAAGAACAACCATCTCACAAGAGAAGCAAGCACTCGGCAAAGCCAGAGCTGCAAATGCTGCAACAACGGTGCCCACACATGGCTGCCCAACATGTGGCAGAACATTTCGTGCCTGTATAGGTCTTACCAGCCACCTGTGGATACACCGTGGATAGCCCACAACCTGTTAGATGTCAAGGTCCTCTTTGAACATGATGGACAAACATGAACTCACAACATTTTCATAAACATTTGAAGACATCTTCAAATCCTTTTTCCGTTCTTCAAATTTACAGTCCTAATACCCTGTTAGCTAGGGGTCCCACTGCTCATTGAACATACACACGGGTACTTTGTCTAAGTACGTCATAGATATATCTAAACGATTTTCTAGCTAAACTTTCATTTTAAAAACACTAGGGTTTTTTTTAAGCCTCAGGGAATACAAGACTTTCAGACATTGAATCAGTTAAAAACAGTAGTATGAGAGACTTTACAGACATGTAAACAGAGTGAAAAACAAAAAGGTGTTTCTTACCACCTGCAGGGTTAGCTGATCTGGATCCTGGATTATGACAGCAGATGAAAGGACAGGCAGAAAGTGAAGCAGAGAAAGCGAGACAATACAGAGTTCAAGAAGCATAGTTATTTGCATAGTTATTCCTTTTTGACAAGCACTTCACTGCTCACATTTTATTATGGATTAGTGTGTGGCAAGATGGTTCATGAAAACATTTCTGCCAAGTAGTAAATAACTATTTAGAGTAGAATAAATTTTAATTCTTTATGCCTGATATCCATGAGGCTGGTGGGGCACAGGACAAACAAATAACATTACTATCCTGGTATAGAAATCCCATCAATGCAATGTTGCAGAATATGCAATGATATAACAGAAAAACAAGACAAATATTACAAGGGTTGTGCTTATAAAACAGAATGACCAGACAGTATAGAGATTAGTAACAAAACAACAACAACAACAAAAAGCATCAGTCACCTTAAACCTAGCATTCTATCTACTAAACAGTTTCTGTTTCTGGCTATGATTTATTACTTTATTTTTTTAAAGATAAAATAAGCATCAGAAATGATACTCACTAGCAACCATTTCAATTGGCATAAATAGTTATCTCTAGACACATACGCAGAGCAATCAATAATGCCAAAAATTTTGTGTGTCAGTTTGTGGACCAAGGCACATAACATTTGGGGATTGAGAAAACAAATACAACAGTTCTAACAAGAAAGCCAGCCCTACCAAGCGTTTCCATCTTTTGCTACACTGCATTGTATTAACAAGTGAAATACTTGTTTCAATGTAATGCTAAGTGCTTTTAAAGTACTTGAAACACAGAAGACTTTAACCAATAGCATTACATGATTTTTGGAAGGCCTACAGACTAACCTAACACAGGAAAAATTCAGGCATTTCTCTGTGTGACAAAGATTGAAAATCAATTCTGTTAAACAAATACTAACACTCTCTCTTTGTGTGTGTGTGTGTGTGTGTGTGTGTGCGCGCGCGCATGCATATGCATGTGCAGGTACTACAGTAGTTGTCATCTTAACAACCATTCATTTAATGATGGTTCAAAATTATAATGGCCTCAGAAAAAGTGAATTATGACCCATTCTTGAAATTACAACTGTTCTAGCTCCTCAGCACCTCACAGTCACATGATTGCAATTTAGGTACTTGGAAACTGATTCACTTTTATGATCGTTGCAACAGCTTGTGGTCATGTGATCATGATTTGCAAACTTTTCAGCTAGCTTTCAACAAAGAAAGTCAATTAGGAAAGCCATATTTGTTTAATGGCCATGTAATTCATTTAACTATCATTTGATTCACTTAATGATCATGATAAAATTGGTTGTAAAATCAGGGCCAGTCATGGGATGGCTCACTTTAGGACTGTATTAATTTACAATGAAAATTCTGGTTCCAAATGAGATCCTAAGTCAAGGATTAACTGTATCGATAAAAGCCTGCCTAAGATGAGGAAAAATCAGGGGGAAAAAATTATCCATGACTTGTGGACATGTTTGTGCCATATAAAATTAGTAGCCTTGCCACAGAATATACAGTTTTATAGAGGCATTTACACTAAGCTGTCAAACAGCAATTTTAGATGAATACGTTTACTACCCCCTACTCAAATTTTTGTAGATGTGAAGAGGGCATCTAACTTATTTACATTATATTTTATGCCCTTTCGTCAGTAATTAGTGAACTCACTGAGACAGACAGCCAATTCTGAAGAGCATGAAGGCTTTTTTCCCCCTTAACAATCATTATGAATGAAAATCTTTCTGCAAATTCACTGTCTATTCACAATTCACAAACAGGGGCTTGAAACTTGAGTGTCTATTCACCCCATGTTTGGGAAGACACATTGCCATGATGCAGAATAAATTAATGATTCTGGTTCTCGATAAACATTGTACATCATGCAGTCAGAATGCATGTTTTGCCAAACAGTATGTACTTATTTAGGCATTACTAGTTTCCCACTGTCATTTAACATATGAAAGTCAGTTCCCCATATTTGCCATGTGCTGAGGAAGAAAAAGAATTGGGAAAGAAAATTGTTGTGGGGGGGGTGGGGGGAAGGACACTGGAAAGAAAACCAAGAAAACCTCAGCTTGGCTTGAGGACCAGTGACTGGTCTTATTTTGTACCGCTGGATTAGCCAGAAACTTGGGAGAAACTCAAAAATAAACCAGGATTAAACCACCTGGTTTATCAATAGTTAGACCTATTGACTACTCATAGTGAAAAGAAAACAAAATTATTAAAGCAAGTCATAGTTTCACATTATGCTTTGTTGTCCCTAAATAGTCATATTTTATCTTAACTCAAATAAGGCACAAATTGGCAATATAATTCCTGGCTTAGGCATCCTATGTGGTATGAGCCAAGTCACTACCTCTGTACGCAGGAGTTCGTGCTCATGTGAAACATGACATGACTAACATGATGCTGAATGGCTCCATGTGGGGACGGATGGAGTGCTTATACAGACTGTCTACTACTTCCTGGATTCTCTGCCCCAGCTGACATTTTACATTTAAAGATTTAAAAAAAAAGAAATCAAGAAGAGGAATTTTTCAAAACAAAGTGCCAATCTCTTGTATCTTCATTTCCAGACCATCCCATCTTTACAAATCATGCTTAGAGTAATGAATATGGGTTCTGCCAGAGGTCCTGGGAAACCCAGAGCGGGATGGAACCCATCAAATGGCTCATGTGATCTGCTGTTGTCGGGGCGGGGGGAGGGGTGGGAGTTGGGGGGTGATCCCCCCCCCGATTTTGTTCTATTGTACTTTATTAATTTATTTGATTCTTTTTATTAGTTTTTATTGTTTTTTTTTAAAATATGGTTTTACATTCTGTAAGCTGCCTTGAGCCACCAAATAAATAAATAAATAAATAAATAAATAAATAAATAAATAAATAAA